CGAGGTTCCTGCCACTCACTCCATGTGGCTGCGGAAGCTTCCATTGATGGGGAGAGGGGTATTGGATTCGGGCCCCACAGACACTGCTGGGTGTTTTAGTGGGTGGGTCCTCTGCTGTGTGGGGTTGTGGTTTACCGTCATCCCCGCCGACCCCAGTCTGGGCACCTCCCACTTCTCATCCTTGTCAGGCTGACCTTCTCTCCGAGGGACTTCTACCAGTTTCCAGGGGCCTTTCGCTGGTAGACAGACTGGACTTTTCTGGTTGACTTGTTTGTGCGGGGTCCCTTCCCGAGTCCGGGGGTCCCTTCCCGAGTCCGGGGGTCCTTTCCCGAGTCCGGGGGTCCTTTCCCGAGTCCGGGGGTCCCTTCCCGAGTCTGTGGGTCCCTTCCCGAGTCTGGGGGTCCCTTCCCGAGTCTGGGGTCCCTTCCCGAGTACGGGGTCCCAGGGTTTTTTCTGTTGACCATATCAGGAAGTTGCACCTGGTCGCTATCGCCGTCTCAGTGTTCCTTTAGCCGCTTTAGCCTTTTTACCCCCTGTGGTAAAACTACAAATCCCATCCGCCATTGCAAGAATCTCCCAGGCATGACTCCCAGAGACCGATGCATCATGGGATTTGTAGTCTCACCGCAGCTGGAGGTTCCCCACCCCCGGTTTAGGTGGAATCGCTGTCCTCGCTGTGATCTCTTATCCGGCTCTTCAGCATCGGGTTGGTCATCTGGGGCCTTCTGGTCATTGCACTGCCATGCAGGAGCTGTTGGGCCCTCTGAGGGCCCCGTCCCATGTCTATGTGACAAGCTGAAGATCTTTGGAGACTTTTGTTCCGGAATTGGGACCTCATTTTGGAAGATCTCCAATCCGGAGCTGGGAATACATTGGGGGAGAGGAGGAGCTGGGAATAAATGGGGCAGGGACTGAGGAGGGAGGGCGTGGCAACGTATGGGGCGGGATCAGAAAGGCGGAGCCCCTGTGGGGGAGGGGTCACACACGGGATCAGAGCAGACTCCGCCTCCTCCTATAATACAAATACGAGATCCCGAGTTTTGGTTCAGCGGGGTCAGAGGTCAGGGTGAGCCTGCAGTACGGATGAAGATGACAGGTAGTGGGGGAGGAGGTTATCCATCTGTACTAGGTGAGCTCTTCCCCACCAATAGAAAGCCGGGAATGTCATTCAATACACCCCGGTGTCTGCGCCCCGCTGGAAGCTGTATTCCCTGAGGCGGACCAAACGTGCAGATGGGCGGACTCAGCAGAGGAGTGTAGCAAATAAATAGATAGGAGGCGGAGCTAACCACACAGGAGAGGTATTCCTATGAAGGAGGCGTGTCTCATCATGGAGGGGTGGAGCCGGGCGAGCGCCGAAGGAAGATGTAGATGCTCCGCCTCCTCCGCAATGCCGGGTGACGTCACTTCCGGAAGGTCAGGCTGCTTTTCTCTTTAGTGTTTGCCGTGTTCCCCTCCTCCACCGACCGACCGGATCCGACACCGAGCCGCCCCGTGTATGGACACCGACAGGTGAGGCCGATCTACTGCTGTCACTACGGGGTAACTAGGGGCAACACCACACATGTCACCATGGCAACCCCTTCCCAGCCATACCCAACAGTG